TTTTTTTTTTTTTTTTTTACGGACAAAATACAAAATAGATTAGTCGGTCGAAATTAATTATATTTGTTATTCAAAGAGCATATAAATTTATATATATATATATATATATATATNCATCGTTAACTTTGCCGGCGACCTCTCGATTGACTTCACTCTGAAAGTTGAAGAAAGAAGAAAATATGGATAAAGGAGGCTGTCTAGTTCTCTTCTCCACGCTAGGTTAACCGATGAAATCATTTTTATGTATTATCTGTAAAATAGGCTATGTCGGGTAAAGTTTTAAAACATGGGCTATTTTTAGTTCTGAGAGTGGACTGACTGACATAGGATGTAATTCTTTCTTATTTCTATTCTATTGGCAGAATGGCCTAAATGGCACCTATACTTGTGCCACTTTGTCATGCCGGTCCCCCTACTTCACTTTTTTTCATCCAGACACTTTAACTTGTTCAAAATTAATATTTTAAACCCCTCCGACCGTTGACCGAGCATATGTGGCAACTTGATGACTGAGTTGTACAAAATGTGTATACTTCACGCGTATAAGGAGCGTGAATGTAAGAATTTACATTAAAAACTAATTAATAAAAATGAAGAAGACAAAAGAAATAAAAAACAAAAACATAATAGTATGTTTCTTACTAGTTTTCACCGAGACCCACCCTTTCCCCTGTTCTTTTTGTCTTTATCCCCTGCATTTCTCGTTCTTCCTCAGACCTAGTCCCAATTCTTTTTCTCTCCCTCCCCCCTCCCATTCTCGTTTTTCCCCATCCCTTGCCCCATTTCTTTTTCTTTTTCTTTGTTTCCCCTTCCTGTTCTTCCCCACCCCTGCTCCTTTTCTTCTTTTCTTCTTTTTAAATTTATAGATCTAATTTTTCTTTGTATGGTCTAGTTAATTATCTGTTTGCCATTATTTGTTTGCTTTGTGAATATTTATTTTTAGTAAAAAATAGTGTAATTTAAGTGATAGAAACTTTTAATTTTTATTACTCTTATATGGTTGTTGTTATATAGGGACCCTTTTCTGGAAAGCAAACTCTTAACAGGGGAAGGAACGGGATTTAAAGCTAGTGAAATCGTGAATGAGTGAAGGAATGAAGATAGGGCGAAAATGGCGAGAAGAATAACGGAATTGGGTTGCTACTATGGTTGGCCAACTGTATTTTAGAGAGAAAAGAACATGGTGGAGATAAGGTATTCAGGTAGAGGTGGGATAAGGGTTCTTATGGAGGAATTGAGAATGGGAGAGTACTGTTCATGGTGTTATCTGGTGGCTAGATTCAGACAGTACAATAAGGAGAGGATGATGGTGGAGAAGAAAGAAAAATAAAGAAAAGGTTTAACAAAAAGAGGGAGGAAAGATAAAAAGTTTTTTTTTCATGTAATTTTTTTTTAAGAATGCTGAAGTGGCATATCTTTATCTGACGTGGACTCTAGCACCATGCAATTGAGAGACACGCATCGTCAGAATGGTTTAAAATATTGAGTTTGAATAAGTGCAAGTGCCTGGATGAAACTTTATTAATTATAGGGACCGGGATGACTAATGACAACAAGTACAAGTATCTATTAGGCTATTCTGCCAAACAAAAATGAATGAAATGAAGAAAAGCTTTTGGTTGGTGAGAAGGGAATTGTTTTTTCTCTTTGAGCTTTATTTCTATTCATTCACGGCATAAAATATTTTTACAATCACCTATAAAGTAATCATAATATATTGTTTGTTTAATCCAAAAAATAATTTTCAAGGTCAAAGTAATAAATTTTATATGACGAGCCACAAGCAACCGATTCGATCCGAAAGATATAAATTTTTGTTAATACAACATGATAGAGAAGTGAAAAATAAATTCAATGACTGGTAACATAATAAAAATAAAGCATAGAAGAAATAATTCTTATTGAATGATCTTTGATAGGATGATGAGCTGAATTGAACTTGAAGGTCCGAACTATGGCTAACTTGGGAGCAAGATGCTATGAATTACAATGTATAGAATTATAGAGAAGAAAATTAGATTGCCACAATGGTGATAAAATGTGCCTATTTATAGGGTTAAATCTAAGTAACCATTCTCCTTGAATTATGGGTCCATTATGAGCATTTACTCAATTTATCTGTTTCTTTTGGAAGACTTGTAACAACTGAGTAAATACTGAAATTCCGTAACCGATGAGTTAATTTTGTTACCGATGAGTCAGTCTCGTGCCTGTTGAGTCAATCCCGTACATGTTGAGTCAATCTCGTACATATTGAGTCAATCTCGCAATTGATTGCCTTGTTCTAGCTGTTACAACCATTTATTACATTTATTATACGTTACATAATTGATTTGTAACTAATGGCATAATGAGAAGGAAAAATATTTTTCAAAATTCTTTTTCAACCTTCCCCCGCCCTATTCCCCATCCCCATCAACCCATTAATCCACCCCCACACACCCCACCTTACCTTAACCCACCATCATCCCTATCCCTTACCCTAAATAAAAAGTATTATTAATAATACTTTATTTTCATGTTATAGATAGATTTTTTTTCAACAAATGAGTATTTTCTTTTCATGATATAAAAAAAATATTTTTTTTATTTTAACAAAAAAATACTTTCTTTTCATGATGTAAAAAAAGTATTTTCTTTTATTTCAACAAAATGATGGAGTAAAAAGTATCTTCTTTCACTTCAACAAAAAGAGTATTTTTCATGATGTAGAAAAAGTATTTTCTTTCATTTCAACAAAAAAAAATATTTCTTTTCATGATGTAGAAAACATATTTTTTAATTTCAACAAAAATGAGTATTTTCTTTTCATGATGTAGAAAAAAGTATTTTCTTTGATTTCAATAAAATGAGTACTTAATTTTCATGTTGTAGAAAGATATTTTCTTTTTTAACCAAAAAAAGAGTATTTCCTTTTTTTAGTTATGGAGCACTAATTTCAAAATTTTTGAGTAAAAAAAAAGCAACACATTAGTTTCTTTGGGTTTGTGTGAATTTTTAGAAGAATAATTAAATTCTTGAAGAAAATAGGAATCCTGAGAATGTTGGGTGTTTAGGGAGGGGGAGGGGGAAGAGAAGCAAGGAAACGTGTGGACTTGGGAGAAGGGGGTGAGGAGAGTAGCATAAAAAAATATTTTTCTAAAAAAATATTTTCTACTCTCTAACTAAACACTAAAAAATATTTTCCGGACAAAGTTTCCAATCACCAACCAAACAAGGGCAAAATAAGTGTGTTTGGTACGAAGAAAGATGTTTTCTATGAAAAATATTTTCTTGACAAATGAGTGATTTTATCACTTATTTTCCCTTGTTTGGTTGATGACTGAAAAACGTTTTTTTGGAAAATATTTTATTGTGATTGGTTAGAAAGTAAAATAAATTTGTTAGAAAAACATTTTT